CTTGAATTTTTTAATAGTTTGTTTCAAAATACCAGCTTAAATTCAGTGCAGAAGTTCCAAAGTTTGGTTGGTTTCTTCACTGTAATTTGTACGGATGCCTCTAAGGAATATTTTTACTAGTAGCACAGTACTTAGGAGATGTTTTATCAAAAAAAGTCCCAACCCTTAACTTGTTGTGAGCTTACTAATCCTACTTCTCCCTCTGTGGTTGCTGCCCTTCCTCAAGAAGGCAGAAGATGCAAAAAATCTAAAATGAAATGGCAACTTCTTCCCTGGCCAGGAGGGGTGGGCTGGCCCCCAAGGCACTGGCATCAGCTTTGCAAACAGAGAATGAACTTCACTCATTACCTGCCATTTGATATCCTTATCAAAGCAAAGGCTGCTAGAGGGGACCATTTTATTAAGGCTAGAAATTCTTTGGGGAGAACAGTCACACGTGCCCTGACATATGGAAATGTATGTAATTTCATCTGATGAGACAGCTAACACTCAGATGGAACAGCAACACTCTGTCTGGAACAGGTAACACCGAATGAATAGTGCATGTGTGACTTCTCCCTGTGCTTGATGATTTCAAAGGCCAGAAGAGATCATTGCATGCTATTATGGCTAAAAACACAGTCTGTTCCCTGCTTGTCAACCAGAATATCTATATTCAAGTGGAACTGAACAATACAAGCTCTCCCTGCTCTGAACAACTCCTTATTCTGCTTATTTGGTGATGTTAATTGATGGGTCACAGGATGGGGTATTTAGTTAATTAAGAAATGGAAATACATCAGATGGAGAAAAAGCTGGAATTCCATACCACAAAAAAAATTTTAATACCAAAGTACAACTGAGCACGTCCAATGAATTTCTATCACTCCAGACTACCACTGACTCAGCCAATGGCCAAAAAAAGGGATTTTTGTCCCTACATCTCTTCACACACTTGCTGAACAACTCATAGATCTTGGAATAAAATACAGTGCAGAAAAAGAGAAGTTCAGTGTGTACAGAAGACATCAGCTTTTACGGGTCACTTCTTAAAAGCAGGAATGAATGCAGACAGACTCCACTTGCAAAGTAAGGTGCATAAAGCAGATGGGCACTGGGCTGTCAGTGATCAAACAGCCTCCTCTTTTCCAGGGAACACCAACTTATTGTACACCATGGTGAGAAAGAAGCTCAGGCACAAGCAGGACAGTAAATCTATATGACCTTTGCAAAGTCTACTTCAAACTAATGCATTCAAAATATCCAAATGCAACTTCATCCATAGTCTCAAATTCTGTTTTCTAATTTATTAGAAATGTTGTTCTAATATTGACGACACCAGGCAGAAACTGTCACCATGTGTTTATAAAGTACCCAGTGCTCTCAGGAATCCAGACTCATTTGAGACACTGGATATAACTAAGAGTTTAAAAAAGGAGACAGAATGTACCAAAACAACTATTTTCCAGCATGATCCATAGACCTGACCAAATTAAATCCTGCATATGTGTATTTTAATCATATGTATCACCCATCTCAGCACAACAGCAGTTGTAGTTATGGAACCAACCACTAATTTGGCCCATTATAGCATTTCTTTAAAGCACTGAATTCTTTGACTATTTCCTACATGTCCATGGAAGTTCCAAAGATAAATCCCTATTGTGATTCCCTCTCATTTTTGGTCAAATATTTGAAAATCCTTTTGAGCTCAGGGGTGTCCATCAAGAGGTGATAATATGCTCCAAGAAGGGAAGGATCTTGAGTACAGACAGGCACAAGGCAGTAGAAATATGTGCAAAACCAACTTAAATAAACTACTTAAACACAAGATGCTAATTTAGCAGTTTCAAGAGCCGTATTTTTACAGCCAACCCAAGACATAAAAAGAACCAAAATTTCATTGGAATAACGTAACCTCACTGTTGCTTTGAGCGTTGCATTTATTCAAATACAGCCCATCCAGCCCTCAATTATCTGCTTTCTCACTCCAACTGCAGCAGATCTGCAGTGCATAGCAATGTAATTATTCACACACCACTCTGTCGTTGCCACCACTGCCTGTACTTCTAAAGCGTCTTGATTACTCTGCTGATGAGCACCATGGAAATGCCTATAAATAAAATAATCATCTCCCCTCATTAAGTTCCAGCTCATGGACTGAGGAAGGATGATTTTCCTTTGTATGTTCCTTTTGTAAATTCTATCACTTCACAACAGAGGGAGCAACGTGCCTCTGATGACACTCAAAGAGACAGACTGTCAGAATTCTTGTCAGTATTTCAGCTTCGAGCAGCTTGTGGTTTTTCATGAATATTTTCTCCTGAAAATAAAATGCTGTTTGTCAGAATTATGCATTCAGTAATCCCTTTCTAATGTCAGAATCAGACATGCAAAAACCCCTAATGTCATGTCAAGAGGTCAGATTTTATGGAGCAGTATGTCATGGAAACCCCAACAGCAAGCACTGCACCCACAGCAGAAGTCTCTGGTTCTAACTTCAACACTAAGAATATACATAGGTAGAAAATTCCAAATAAGCTTAGATATAATAAAAAACAAACACTGAAGGAAACTTTCCAATAAAAATAAAGCCTTGGTGAAAGAGGTTTGCCCTTCAAGAAGCTTCGACATTAATTGCTGCTACAAACAAATATCACACATCCCCTTATTGTCAAATCACAAAATCTCTCTCTTTTCAATAACTGCAATACTGGGTGTACATTTACATATAGTGAAACTCCCAGTAGTGCCTCCAACACGCAATGAAATATCACATTTCATAAAACGGTGAATTATAAAGCCAGCAAAAGAAGTTAAATGTGATATCTGTGATCAAGACTTTACTGAAATTACATTTCTGCAACAAAAACTGATGTTGTCGGGTTGCCCCAGTCAGACCAGTGTTGAATTAAGGCCCCGTTCACCATACAGCTGTCAGAGTGTGACAGGAGGAAGACCAGGTTTCCTTTTAGTATCTGATTCAAGAAGAGTCATGTGTGGTGTGGTGCCTGCTATGGAGAGCAGTTGGCAGTAAGAATTGCCAGGTTACAGAGATCTTTGTGTCCCGTGCTCAGCTGTAGCCCTGTTCAAAGCAGTATCTCCCAAAAGAGATTACAGCACTAACCCCCTGCTAACCCACAGCAGCACTACTCCAGGCAATCTGTAACTTGAAAGCAAGCAGCATCTCCCAGATCCCCACTTGGGAGTTAACACCATCACACAGGCTGGTCACCAGGCCACAGGCTCAGGTCAGGCTATGGGCTGATCTTGTCTGGCTCTCTGGACAGAGGTGAGGGGGAATCACCACTTACTCCTGTAACTGAAAGGGGGAGAAGAGAACAGTTTGATGGAAGCTTATGGGACATCCCTATTTCTGCACACCATCCAAAGTAACATCTCACCTCCCAAATGCCAGTTGTTCTCAAAGAACTGAGGCCATTCACAGGTTCAGATGAAGATCCTCATTCACAACTATGACAGCAAAGGTACTTGTTGTGTCAGGACGAGCAGGCAGCTGCTCTCAGATCAGATCTGTTTATTAAACCCTTTGTAAATCTGCTGTTATCCAACAGGCATGATCCTGTGCCCATATATTATTTCCTCAGTGGGGACAGGTCATTTGATTCTCTCCTTCCTCACTCCCCAGTCTCTTCCAAGGTTTCCAGTACATCACTCCCTGTATCACAGCTTATTTACAGCATGCTACTGTATCTAAGGGTAGTGTAGCTGGAGAATCATCTACTCATGTTAAAACTATAGGTCTTAGGAAGGAAAAGCACTGGGAGAAGACAAGTGGAAAGGTAAGCTGTGACAGGCAGGTGAGATTTTGGTATATCTGAAGCTAGAACCAGCCACAAACTAATATGCAGGATACAGAGGCTGGGATAAAGCAAGAATCATAGAATCACAAAATGGATTGGGTTGGAAGGGATCTTAAAGATCATCTAGTTCCAAGCTCACTGTCATGGGCAGGGACATCAAAACATCAGACAGAGTAGAGGGACATGCTACTTTCAGCTCTGAGGCACTACACCTGGGCTGTGCAGGACAGTTTATGAACCTGTCTTTGGGGCTGGAAGGATGAATATTTTCATATGTAAAGTCTGAATGTTCATTGGACAGAGCTAGTACTTGAATAATTTTCTCCAGAGACAGCAAAGAGTTAATTTAAAGCAGTAGCATCAATCCCTAGAATAGCCAGAGTCTAAACCCACACAAGAGCTGTGCTGCCTCACTCCAGAATCTGGAGCAAGGAAAACAGTGACAAAAATAAGATCATTCCTCAATTACAGAAGACAGAACTGTTAAATGAAGCTCAGAATTGTCCTTGAAGAATCTAGCTCTTCCCAGTTCTAAAATCAACCCCACATTCCTTTGAGGGTTTTCATAGATACAGCAATATGAAATCGCTCATTGCTGTGTAGCTGCTAACAAGAGACAGATGTTTCCTTCAGTTCCAGGAACATGTAGACATGAAGTGCATTATGATGACCCACTAAATACTTCTGACTCTTTCTGCATGTTATCTCTTCATGCATTTAGTCAAGAAAATGCAACACAATTCCGTGCTTTTCCTGATAACCACAGAGCTGACCAGAACAGCATGCTTGGAGCAATTGCTTGATCTTAGCAAGCCTTCATCAGAGGGCAAGAAAAGTCAAGCAACACATTTTCACTGAGTGAAGCCAAAGTTTGAGAGTTCCTGCAGTTACTCCAGAGCCAAATGAGCTGGTGGCTGTGAGCCACGTTATTTATTTAGCTGGTCCAGAAGACACGCACCGCACGCCGGTGTGCAGGACGAGCATCTGTTCCACTCAGACCTTTGGCTACATTCTTTGCTTGATATTAATACCAGGGAAAATTTAGTAACTTAACCACTGGCATGAGAAGTCATACTTCTAAGAGAACAGATGGCAGTGATCATCTTGGCTTAATTTTAGGCTTCAAAAATTGTTCTGAGTCAGCAGAGCCTCAAGGGAAGAGAAAGGAAAAGGCGCAACATCTGTAAAACCTCTTACCTGTTTCCCATCCAAGGTATACAGCTTTTTGACCACTCCTGTCTCCAGTTTTATAGCTTCGGTGATGTCAGTGAGAACTTGCTCAAATGAATGGGCAGTCTTCTTGTTCAAGAGCACACGCACTGCCTTCCGGGGCTTCACCCCGCTGCGGATGATGGTCACCAGCTTGGGACGCACAAAATCTTTGTTCTCCTTCGCCTGGGCGCTGTTGCTGCTGGCCAGAGACTGAGGTGCTTTCTGGTTGGCAGATGTCTTCACGTTGACAGACCAGTTGGGGTTGACGTTCTTGGTGTATTCCACCTTCTTGAAGAAGTTGTCAGATGAGCAGACGTAACTCTCCCCTTTTGAAAGAAGTGAAATTCTACAGTTACTACAAAAAGGCTGCTGGAAAACAGACAATATACTTTCCCTGATTAATCAGGCAAAGCATTGATAAATGTTTTCATCAGCACTTCCACGACAGTTTGTTATCAAAACATTTTGCCTTATTTTAATTTTATATTTATGATTATTTAAAATATGACTAGTATTTCCACAAACTAGGCTAGTCAGCCTTAGCTCGCATGAACAAATATATACAAGCACTCAGTCACATGAACCAGGGGTTAAAAAAGGTTGAATTACAAAGGTAGTTAGGTACTGGAAGATGCAACTAAGCTGCCTAAGAGCTCCAAAACACCAAATTCATTTGACCACCTTCATTAAACTGTAACTTTGCCAGCTTCCTCTCCGTCTTTACAGACCTAGCTACTACTTCAGTGTGTCATTCTCTGCCAGAAGGACATCAACATTCATCCACAAAGTGCCTTTGCATCATGCTTGAAAAATAACAAAAATCTTGTACTGAATTGTCTCTACTAAAAGTAGCATTGATAAATCTAGCAAGCATAACAAATGTGCTTTTCTAAATCATCAGTGGTTTATTAGAGAACAGACCTAATGGCAGCTGAGATTAAGCACTACACCAAATGCCACTGCTTGCTTTTATATGGTTGGTACCAACCAAAAATATACTAAATCCAAATTTAGACATGGTAGAGAAGGGTTACATGGTCTTGTTAGTAATTCACAAAAAGCCCTTCCCTATCCCACCCAAAATTAGTTTCAAGCTTTGTCTGTAATTTACAGGATCCTATCTATCTAGGGTTTTAAAAGCACCTTAAAGGATTTGTAGGATCTTCTTTTGGGCCTGCAAATCTGATGGATGTTAGAAGAGTTATTACTAGAATGAGACTGTAAACCAGTATCCCTAAGGGAATGTGGCTGTCTAGTCTGAAATGACTCAGGCTGCTGAGCACTTGAAGACACACTGAAAAAAAGTCAGTCAATGCTAGAGGAAAAAGCTTTTGTCTCGCCATTAGATAAAATTTTAATAGGAACTGAGGGCATAACCTGTAGGATTTTAGAGTTTCTTCTGGTGTTTTCTCGGGCTGATCTAATAGAATTAAGTTTTTCACGTATTACAATAGATTTGAAATCAAAATACAAATTTAACTGTACTGAATAAGAAAAAAAAAAAGAATTCCTTCTTCGCACAACCAGACTGGCTGCATTTCCTTATCTGGCCATGCCAAATCCAGGACCTGGATATCTTTGAAAAGCCTACCTGACAGCTGAGTCTGGCTTTCCATTCCAGGACCTCTAGGGCAGGATTTGACATCCAATTGGCAGAGGTATAAATATGGATTGCCAAAGAGTCCATTGGTTTCTGCACAGCCCAGGCACATTATAGTGTTCATACAGTCGTCCTTCTGCTGACTAAACTGCATTTTTGGTGGAGGCACCTAGAAGGTCCCTCCCTAGAACACATGGTGAGACCACTAACAGGCAATAAACAATAAACAGAAGACTTTACAGGCTTATAACAATGGTCTGTGTAGTCTTTATGCCCCTATTACTGCTAAGGGTTTGATGTCACAAGCAGCCATAGAAAAGATGCAGGATGCTCACTTATTTTAACCCTTTGTACCCAGTTTGCCACAAAATAATGCACACTTGTGGTGCTTACATCTCTAACTGCAGCTCTTCTCCATCAGTTGCATAAAAATGACCAAAATCTTTTATCAACAGGAAGCAGATATTCTGTTTTCCCTTCTAAAGATGGAATAAAAATACAGAAGGGAGAAGAGAGCTGACAAGGTTCATGATGAACACTGTCAGTTGGGCACTTGGTCAGCTAGTTTACCCAAACTAATGCAATAATCCCACCTGGAGGTTCTGTTGGCTTGACCAAACAGTAAAAATTTGTATTTGCTGTCAGAAAAAAACCTCATTAAACTGACCATGTAGTAGTACCCATAGCTGAAGCTCCTTAATTCCTCATATTTTGTGAATCTGACTCAATAGAAACTTAAATATACTCCACAGAGTACCACACATTATAAAGAATTCCCACTGGACATATCATTTTCCAGAAGCACTGAGTACTTCAGATCTTCCTGATTAATAAGTGATAAGCTGTGGTTTATTCATCTGCTTCAGCCAAGTAACACCTGGTGTGGAGCAGGCCAAGGCTTCTCTCCAGTTTCACAGCGGAGTGTAAAGGGCAGAGGGGGGAGTTTGGAATGCTCACAGGGAATTATCCCTGTCCTAAGAACCTGAGCCCTCCCAAGCTCATAATCCCTGGGTGGTAGAGCCTTTATAAGTGTGTTCAGAACAGAACCGTGCATTATCCTTTGAGAAAATGGATTTCTCTCTTTGAACGCAACACTGAGAGTAAGTGATTTGAACACTGCTGTCACCCCTGCCCCAGGCTTCCCTGTGGAAGCTCCTGACCTCACCTGCACCTCTGCTTCCCTACCTGAAAAACAGAAGTAGCAATACCAGCCACTGAAGTGTGGCAAGGCTTGACTTTCACCCATATTTGTCTAATACTTTCGGATAGAAGACGCCACAACAAAAGAAAGTGTATATTTGCACTGTGTTCTACAAACACAAGACGTGGTGCAGCATATTTTCCATTAATAAGTTCCATGTTTTAAAGCAAGCGGAAGAGATTCTTGGTCTGTTTAGTACAGTAGTATTACTCTTATTTCCAGCTGAATCCTTTTAAATTCCTTGCTGTGCGCCACAGCTGTGTATTTACACCAGTGTACACCAAAGGCAACAGTGGCATGAAGGTAATACTCTTGTAGGCTTTTTTTTCCCTCAGATGTGCTCTAAGATAGTTGTACAGATCTACACACTGGCCTTTCAAGTTGTACTCACAGTCACAAGCAGAAAATAGAATCTGCCCTTTCTCACTTTGTTTCATTTAGCCCAAACCCTAGCAAATATTTTATTTGGTTCTAAAACAGGAAAGAAATTTGTTTGGAGTGATAATTCAGGATAGCAGTTCAGAGTAGCAGCTCTTCTCAGTGTCATTTTTGAAGTTATGGCTGTATAGCTCCAGGGAAGAGCAGCTTTTCTTTCCTTCTTCCCTTACCCAAAGATGTAACCTGAAGCTTTAACTTAATTTAAAAATCACTTCAGCTGATGTCTTCCCAAACTCAGTTTATGACCCTCAAATAGTAGTAAAATTATCATTCAGGTTCCTCAGTGAGGCACATTCATTTGCCAGCCAGGAACATGTGCTGTCCCACTTCCCACAGTGGAGTTTTACCCAAACCTTACCGTGGTAGTAGCAGGATTGAGCAAGTGTGGGCAGAAGACCTGTGAACTTTCCAGCTTTGAACAAGCATTCTGTGGCCAGGAGATCATAAAAAAAAAAGCGATATCCTATGGGGAATACTGCTACCTTAGAGGGAGGAGTGGTTTCCTGGTTTCTCTGCCATATCTGTCTGTGCTAAGCCTATAATGAGAAGTCAAGGTGTACCACTGTGCCAGTCAGAGTTTGTAAGTGATTGGCACAGCGTGGTTGCAGAAGACGTGCACAGCATAACAGAAGGATGGGAAGTGAACATGAGATTTTGTGAAATGCAAAAGAAACAACTCCAAGAAGAATATATAAGCACAAAAATCTGTGTACAAATATTTGAAGGAACACGTCTTGAGCCAGCAAGCAGCTGTGCACATGTGCAGCAATCCAGCTGTAAACCATGAGAAGGTGTGATGAACAGCCACGTCAGTACTTCCAAACAAAACCCCAAATGGGAGCCCCAAAGAGACACACTCATGCAGTGAGGGTGGGAAACATCATCCTGACAAGATCCAATCTGCTGCTGAACACCAGCTATGGTAGCAAGGACAGCATTTGTTTAGTGCAGGGCCGGGTCAGTGCACGATGCCCCTTCTGCACTGGGGAGTCAAAGCCCTGCAGGATGATGTTGCAGGATGCTGCAGGATGACACACTTGTCATCATGCCAGTGTGTTCCCGAGGTGTCACAATTCCTATCATGCCACCAAACCAGCCAAGGCATTTATTTACTCCTGTCCTGCCTTTAGCAATAGATGGACTGACTGCAGACCTTTGACCTTAAGTCATGATCATCATATTTGCCATTTGAAGCCATGGCTTGTATCACACCAAATTACTCTGGCTACAAGTGCATGACACATTCCTGTGCTACCAATCTGACAGAAGCACAAGGCGATTATTCAGCTCCTAAAGAAGGGATGATCTCAGTAAAGATAAGGTTTGCCTTAGAGAAGGTTCCTCAGAAAAACCCTAAGCTCCAGAGTAGTGCTAATCCTTCAACCCTCTTACAAGCAGCTCCTTGTGACAATACCAGAAATGACAGGCTGTGCTTTCAGAAAAAGTTATCCTTCCTCAGCACACACCAGCAAGTTTCCAAGGATAATGAAATGCAGTCAGAAGTCGTATGAGAAAAACCAGGAAAGCTGAAGTGAGGCCATTTTGAAAGTGTAACTGTTAACACTTATTCCAAAACCAGTCCCTCTGGGCTGCAGTCAATTATTTTGGCTGTTAGCTCTGCTGTTGCAAAGTTGAGATTCTGCTACTGTGCTCAGTTTTAATGTTTCATGGAATTTACTACCACTGCAACAGGAATTAAGTGGACTTAACACCTTGCAGAGTTCATTCCACATGGTGTTGAAGTGGACCTTTGGTTTCAAATGCATGAACTTTCTGCTGCTTTATGCATTAAAAAGACCTGCTCCACCATGGCAAAATGAACTCTGGGAGAGCTTCCTTCCTTTGGCTCTTCCACAGGGATCTCTCCCATGAAGAGAAGCACCTCTTGTTCTGTTGAAGAGCTGAAAGAAATGTGTGATTAGAAATTACCTTCAAAAGCACACGATGCCTGTAAAGAATTTTGGGGCCACGTTGGTCCTAATGTGGCAGCCAGGATGAGCAAGCAAATAAAACAGAACTTCAAGGATAAATTTTGTTGTGTAGGATGCTATTAGCTGAGCTATTAGGACAACAGCCACAGAAAACAA